AAAAAAAAAAAAAAAAAAAAAAAAAAAAAAAAAAAAACTGCTTCCAGGACAACTTAAGTTGCTAGATGAAATGGTCCAGCCTCACAGACTACTCCAGCCAAGACTTCAGTTAAGCCCTGCCCTTTCCCATGACACAGAGATTGGACAATAAATGATGCAGCTAGCTCTCCCAGGACTTGACCATTATCTCAATTTTCTCAGGGCCCCCTAAAGATGCCCTCAGCTCCACAAAGCAGGAAGCAATTTTAAGAACATAGTGATCACATTCCCAAGAAGTAGGGTGGTCTGTGGGTTATGGATATTTATCATTGTTTGAGGGGTTTGTTGCAAGTTGTTATTGCCCATGGTCAGGGAGGAAACTAAGCGAAGGGGCTTATCAAGGATTTCTTTTTTTTTCTTTCCTCTGTCCTTCTTTCTCTTATGTAGTGTTAAAAAAGGGACGGGGAGATAAGGGATGAAAAGAAAAAGGGAGGGATATACCAACTATAGATTATTGAATCTACTTTTTTTTTTTAAAAAAGATTTTATTTATTATATATACAACATTCTGCTTCCATGTATATCTGCACACCAGAAGAGGGCACCAGATCTCATAACGGATGGTTGTGAGCCACCATGTGGTTGCTGGGAATTGAACTCAGGACCTCTGGAAGAGCAGCCAGTGCTCTTAACCTCTGAGCCATTTCTCCAGCCCTTGAATCTACTTTTAAACTAAAATGCAACTGCTAGTGTCAAATATTTTACACTGATATGAATTTTTATATATTGATACAAATTTAAGGTTATTTTTGTTACAACATGCTGTATATATGTTTCTACTCTTGTTTAAGGTATTGTACCTCTGCAACTCATTTAAAAATGTAATATAGTTCTAGTCCTTGAAAGCTACTATTACAAACTGTTTAGGATAATTAAGAAATGCAAATTAGTAGTTAGTCACCTATAACAAACTTGTCATGTTAGGTATGATTTCAAGATCAAACATATATTTTAGATAGATAGGTGGTCTTCAAACACTTTGGAGATCTACAGAATATGACATTTAAGATGTTTTCATAATATAAAGCTTTTCATGATGGTGGGATATGTCTGCTCCTGGCAGAATCAATCTACTTCAAAGAACATTATAGGCATGGAAGAACCTCCGTATGGAATATGCTTTAAATGTGGCAAAGCTAGCCAGCTGCTGGCAAAAAACTGCCATTGCCTCCACTGCTGACAGTATGCTGTCCAAATTGGACAAGTAGGTCACAAAGGAAACCAACTCGTGGACTTTTCCAAGACAAGGTAGGCCAGCCTTTCAAATTTCCTGCTTTACAGGAAAGTCTGTCAGATATTCTAGGCCTGTTGGCCAAAGATGGATGCTCCAACATTACAGAGGAGCCTTGGGTGACTGTCCAGGCAGTGTCTCTGTCATTTTTATAGTTTTAGAAGTTGCTTGCTCTGCATTTCTTCTTTACTCAGATAATATTTTATCCTTTTCAGATCTCTGATGGGTTGAAGACTATATTATAGTTTTACAGTTTTCCTTGTTAATCACTTTCAAAAAAAGAAACAAAGATGTAAGTTTATAAAGGTTGAGAGACATAAAAGCTTAAGTTTATCTAAGAAAATGTTTTAAGGCCTAAAAAGATATTTTTAGCTGGTTAATACAAGTTCTGATAGAAAGTGATTAAGGTACAAAACTTTGGACTCACCCAGATAGGGTAGATAATAGAGTGCTTTCTCCAAAGTTACCAAATGCAAATGGGCTGGTCATTGTGAAGGTAATTCTTACCTGATAATTGTTCTTATTGCATATAGTTTTACTGTGTTAAGAGTCAAAACGTTTCCTTTCTATTTAGACAAAAGGGGGTAAATGTGGGTTATTTGATCACACTGTGAACCCCCAGTCCTGCTGGGCCTCGGCCTGAACAGCAGGCAGTGACTTGAGCTTTGTAAGTAGCTGAAACAGCAGTAGATTCAGGTGCAGCTGCTGTAAAACAATCTACCATGATATCCTACCCAAAGGCTACTGTTTCTTGTAACACGTTGCTTGTAGACCTTGGCCACAGGTGGCCCTCTTTAGGCATGTTTCTACACTTAAATACAGCCTTGGGACTGGAAGTATAGGCGGTGGTAAAGTCCTTGCGTGGAATGCACAAGGCTTTTATTTATTTATTTTGGAAGGGTGTGCTGATCTCTAACACAATAACAAAGGTAAAATGGGAAGCTAGACGTGATGGTACACACCTGCAAGCCCAGGACTTGGGAGGCAGAGCCTGAAGTTCAAGACAAGCCTGACCTGTTAGTCCTTTTAAAAATAATGAAGGAAAAAAAAGAGGGAAGGCTGGAAAGATTGCTCAGAGGTTAACAGCACTGGCTGCTCTTCCAGAGGTCCTGACTTCTATTCCTAGGACCCACGTAGAGGCTCACAGCCATCTATAATGAGATCTGGTGCCCTCCAGCATGCACGTACACATGGAGGCAGAATGCTGTACACATAATAAATGACTCTTAAAGAAAAAAGAATGAAGGTCCTGCAGTAACAAAAATAAATGAGATGCTGGAAAGCAGGGTGAAAGTGCACTCTTGAGTCTGTGTGTGGCAGGGTACAAGGTTGTGTCAAGACTTGACTTTTCTAACCCCCAGGGATGTGCTTGTGTCTGGCTGGAAATAAGCTCCAGATCCTTGTAGTAACTGCCAAATATCATGAGACTGTTCCACAGCTAACATACCGTCACAGGGTAGGTCAATATTGTGCAGTCTAAACCACCAGGGACAAACAAACAAAAAATGCTGGGTAGGAGGAAAGAATTTGGAGCTAGAGTTTTGGGGAGAAAAAAAAAAAAAATCAAACTCAATGGAGTCTGTTATTTTCGTAAATTCCACCCTATACTATACTATACTATACTATTTGTTTCATGACTTGTTTTCATTTTAGGCAGATTCTCCTTATGTAGCCAAGACTGGCCTTGAACTCAAAAACCCCCATCCTTGGTTTCCCAGGTAATGAAATTATAGGTTTGCACCACCATTCCTAGCTATTGGAATGGTTTACTTCCAGAAACACATGACTTGGCTTAATGTTCAGTTTTCATGTTGAAAAGAAGCTTGTAGTTGCTCTTTTTATACAAATGGCACAGCTGGATGTGGTGGTATGTCCAGCACTCAGGAGGTAGAGACAAGAAGACCAGGAGTTCAAGACGAGCTTCAGCTCCACAGTAAAACTCTGTCTAAAACAGTAACAACATAATAAATAAGAAGGTGGAGGGCTCATAACTCGTTTCAGGAGATCTGACCCCCACCCCTTCTCACTTCCACAGGCAGCAGGCACATACATGAAGGCAATTAATCTAATCATCCCCCTCTTCCCCTTTTTTTTTGAAATAGGGTTTCTCTGTGAAACAGCCCTGGTTGTCCTGGAACTCACTCTGTAGACAAAGCTGGCCTTGAACTCAGAGAGATCCACCTGCCTCTGCCTCCCGAGTGCTGGGATTAAAGGCGTGCGCCACCACCGCCTGGCTGCTGTATCCCCATTCTTGAGGCTTTAACTAAAATGTCACAGAACTTTTAAATTTGCTATATTAGGGAGTTATTCTAATCTATTTCCTGACACATCCACAGGATCCTCAAAGGACAGGACATTAGCATGAATCCCTGGAAGGAGTCATATATATAATATCTGAAAGAAACAGGAAGCAATGGGTGGTGTCACATAAATAGTATCTGGAGGAAACTAAGAAAGTTACAATATGGGTCTGGCTAGGAGACTGGAGCTATGGAAAGAGATGGTTCTCACAGCAGTCAATTTTGAGAAAAAGGGCAACTAGCTGTTCATCAAATAAGTGTACTCACTGCCTTGGTTTATTTTGCAGTTCTACTTCTTAAGGGGATGAGGTTTCCAGGTAGGGGATCAAGTTTTATCAAAGGTGATATTAAAACCTTCCAAAGTGGGTTTAGTGACCGAACACTTAACATGGGTTTAAAAAACAACAACAACAAAAAAAAAATCAAACTTACTAAAACTAATTTTACTAACAACTAGCATGGCTTTAGAATACAAGGCATTAAATTTCAACTTACTACTGTTTTCCTGTTACAGTAATCTGACTGGCGGTACCATTGTCACCCAGACCTATAAGCAGAAAGCAGGGAGACACTTTACAATATCATGGGGCTTCTGAAGTAAAACATGGTTTTCTTAGCTCTTTCAAGGGGTAAACCCATTTCTCTAATCTTTAATCACAAGGCCTCCAAACCAAGCATGCCCAGTTGAGCCTCTGCTTCTCAGTGGGGAAAAAAAAAGCACAGTATCTAATTTCAGTTCAAACTCATTTCCCTTTATTAAAGTCCAAGTTACTATTACATGGTTTGATACTCAAAGGAAAATTTGTTCAAATAAAACATTTCCAGACGACTGTTTCAATCAAGTAGCATAGCAGTGAGTCCTTGGGAAGCCCATCTACAGAGAAAAAAAAAGCAAAAGAATCAGCAAAGTGCTGAGAGGAAGTTATCTTATTTAAAATCATATTTGGTAATACAGTCCCAGGGGTTAATCACTATCACTCTAGAACACTTTGTGCTTTTAATATAGCCCCAGCTAACTTACAGAGACTAGCTTTGAGGCTCTTCATAGTTTCAGCACTGGTACTGGCTTATTACAGTTCTACTTCTTGAGGGGATGAGGTTTCCAGGTAGGGGATCAAGTTTTATCAAAAGAGATATTAAAACTTTCCAAAGTGGGTTTAGTGATTGAACACATACATGGGTTTAATGTATATCTTAAAAAAACAAAAATCAGGTAATCCTAGCACTCAGAACAATGTAAACAGTTGATAGGAATTTTGAGGCTGATTGAGATGGCTCAGCAGGTAAAAGCACTTGCTGCTGAACCTGACAACTTGAGATGAATCCCAGAGACCTACATGGTAGTAGAAAACTGACTTCTGCAAACTGTCCTCTGAATTCCACAGTTGCTGTAGCACAAGCATGCCCCCATCCCCACATATAAATAAACAAATAAATGTAGCAGGACAGTGCTGTCATGAACCCACCACTTTCTGAACTGACTCTGCTCCCTCCTTGGTCAGGGACACAGTACTTACAGAGGGGTTTACACTTTGTCCAGGCCCAGTTCCTCTGGAGTGGAAATTCCCAGTTCATTTAAAGTTGGTCTAAGTTCCTGGATGACATAGGGGTAGATGTCCTTATGAGGTCCTGCTTTGTCCTGTTGGCAAAATATATATATATATATATATATATATATAGTCTCTATTAAACAAACAAAACTAGAGAAGCTTTTAATCATGTTTGCAGGGCTGGAGTTATACTCAGTTGGTAGAATGCTCACTAAACATTCTACTGAAGCCTTCCAGTTCCGTCCTCAGAACCACAAAACCAGGTGTTTATTCCTGTAATCCTAGGACTTCAGAATTAGAGACAGGAGGATCAGAAGTTCAAGGTGGTGACGACAGGAGAAAAGGTAATTAAACATGCTCATTAGGCATCAGAAAAATTAAATTAGCACAAGGGAAGTTCTAAAATTTGCAATTTAAGGGTCTAACTGAATTAACTACCAGTGCTGAATGACCGATAGTTTACAGAACACTTAATTATCTTATTCATTATATAGTATTGTCATCCCCCCCCCAACTTAAAAACTTTTAAATTCTTTTTTGTTTTCTGAGAAAGGTTTTCTTTGTGTAGCCTTGGCTGTCCTGGAACTAGCTCTGTGTACCAGGCTGGTCTCAAATTCACAGAGTGCTGGAATTAAAGGCCTGCACTACCACATCTGGCTCCTTAAACTAACCAACCAACCTCCCTCCCTCTCTCCCTGGTTTTTTGAGACAGGGTTTCTCTATAGTTTTTGGAGCCTGTCCTGGGACTCCCTCTGTAGACCAGGCTGGCCTTGAACTCACAGAGATCCTACTGTCTCTGCCTCCTGAGTGCTGGAATTAAAGGTGTGCACTACCTCACCAGGCTCCTTAAGTTTCTTCCAGAGCATGGCCTTTCATGGAGAATTGTACTCAGAGGATATTATGTGCAGAAGTCAAACCAATGCTGATGAGTGATATGGCCCACCTACTTCTGGAACAACCTTAACGTCATTCATTATCTTACTGACCTTAACAACCTCCAAGATGCGAACAGCACTAGCAAAATCATTTAACCGTCTACATGCACGCAAAGCAGCATCAATGATTTTGGGCTCAGGAACCAGATCATAGCCAACAAGTGTGTTCATCCCTGTCAAGTTAAAAAAAGAGTCACATTAACCTGAGATATCCTTCTTAATTATCTATCTACTTTCCATGGCTTAGCTCTCTATATTCTTACTGAACCATGAGCATATGACCTCATCTGTTTGGGCCACTGTCCTCTTACCTGTAAAATGAGAATCTACCTGTAACAAACTAGTAACACCATGAATCATCAACAAAGAATTAGGAGAATTACAGAGCTCTCTTCAACTTACTGCTTAACTGTTAATAGGGTTAAGTGAATTAACTGTATGTAATATATCTATAATATAGATAACTTTAAAATCATCTAAAACTACTAGCATGCCTAAGGAGAGATGATGAGGCCCAAATCAGGACATTAAGACATTATACAGAAATATTAGTGTACAGACTCAAAAACATTCAACCAAAAAAAAAAAAAAAAGTTACAAAAAAAACCCGTAATTTTTTTTTTAAAATTTTACTCAAGAAAAAAAAAAAAAAAGTTACAAAAAAAACCCGTAATTTTTTTTTTAAAATTTTACTCAAGAAAAAAAAAAAAAAAGTTACAAAAAAAACCCGTAATTTTTTTTTTAAAATTTTACTCAAGAAAAAAAAAAAAAAAGTTACAAAAAAAACCCGTAATTTTTTTTTTAAAATTTTACTCAAGAAAAAAAAAAAAAAAGTTACAAAAAAAACCCGTAATTTTTTTTTTAAAATTTTACTCAAGAAAAAAAAAAAAAAAGTTACAAAAAAAACCCGTAATTTTTTTTTTAAAATTTTACTCAAGAAAAAAAAAAAAAAAGTTACAAAAAAAACCCGTAATTTTTTTTTTAAAATTTTACTCAAGAAAAAAAAAAAAAAAGTTACAAAAAAAACCCGTAATTTTTTTTTTAAAATTTTACTCAAGAAAAAAAAAAAAAAAGTTACAAAAAAAACCCGTAATTTTTTTTTTAAAATTTTACTCAAGAAAAAAAAAAAAAAAGTTACAAAAAAAACCCGTAATTTTTTTTTTAAAATTTTACTCAAGAAAAAAAAAAAAAAAGTTACAAAAAAAACCCGTAATTTTTTTTTTAAAATTTTACTCAAGAAAAAAAAAAAAAAAGTTACAAAAAAAACCCGTAATTTTTTTTTTAAAATTTTACTCAAGAAAAAAAAAAAAAAAGTTACAAAAAAAACCCGTAATTTTTTTTTTAAAATTTTACTCAAGAAAAAAAAAAAAAAAGTTACAAAAAAAACCCGTAATTTTTTTTTTAAAATTTTACTCAAGAAAAAAAAAAAAAAAGTTACAAAAAAAACCCGTAATTTTTTTTTTAAAATTTTACTCAAGAAAAAAAAAAAAAAAGTTACAAAAAAAACCCGTAATTTTTTTTTTAAAATTTTACTCAAGAAAAAAAAAAAAAAAGTTACAAAAAAAACCCGTAATTTTTTTTTTAAAATTTTACTCAAGAAAAAAAAAAAAAAAGTTACAAAAAAAACCCGTAATTTTTTTTTTAAAATTTTACTCAAGAAAAAAAAAAAAAAAGTTACAAAAAAAACCCGTAATTTTTTTTTTAAAATTTTACTCAAGAAAAAAAAAAAAAAAGTTACAAAAAAAACCCGTAATTTTTTTTTTAAAATTTTACTCAAGAAAAAAAAAAAAAAAGTTACAAAAAAAACCCGTAATTTTTTTTTTAAAATTTTACTCAAGAAAAAAAAAAAAAAAGTTACAAAAAAAACCCGTAATTTTTTTTTTAAAATTTTACTCAAGAAAAAAAAAAAAAAAGTTACAAAAAAAACCCGTAATTTTTTTTTTAAAATTTTACTCAAGAAAAAAAAAAAAAAAGTTACAAAAAAAACCCGTAATTTTTTTTTTAAAATTTTACTCAAGAAAAAAAAAAAAAAAGTTACAAAAAAAACCCGTAATTTTTTTTTTAAAATTTTACTCAAGAAAAAAAAAAAAAAAGTTACAAAAAAAACCCGTAATTTTTTTTTTAAAATTTTACTCAAGAAAAAAAAAAAAAAAGTTACAAAAAAAACCCGTAATTTTTTTTTTAAAATTTTACTCAAGAAAAAAAAAAAAAAAGTTACAAAAAAAACCCGTAATTTTTTTTTTAAAATTTTACTCAAGAAAAAAAAAAAAAAAGTTACAAAAAAAACCCGTAATTTTTTTTTTAAAATTTTACTCAAGAAAAAAAAAAAAAAAGTTACAAAAAAAACCCGTAATTTTTTTTTTAAAATTTTACTCAAGAAAAAAAAAAAAAAAGTTACAAAAAAAACCCGTAATTTTTTTTTTAAAATTTTACTCAAGAAAAAAAAAAAAAAAGTTACAAAAAAAACCCGTAATTTTTTTTTTAAAATTTTACTCAAGAAAAAAAAAAAAAAAGTTACAAAAAAAACCCGTAATTTTTTTTTTAAAATTTTACTCAAGAAAAAAAAAAAAAAAGTTACAAAAAAAACCCGTAATTTTTTTTTTAAAATTTTACTCAAGAAAAAAAAAAAAAAAGTTACAAAAAAAACCCGTAATTTTTTTTTTAAAATTTTACTCAAGAAAAAAAAAAAAAAAAAAGTTACAATAAAATCCAGTAATTTTCCTCTTAAATATTTACTCAAGAAAAAAACAAAACAAACAAACAAAAAAACAGTATATGTACATCCTCCTAGAGGTAAGTTTTTTGTTTGTTTGATTCCTTTTGCCCTCAGTGGTTGGATCCCAGGGCCTTGCCTAACTAGTTTTTTTTGTGACGGTTTCTTTGTAGCTCTGGAGGCTGTCCTGGAATTTGCTCTGTAAAGAGGCTGACCTTGAACTCACAGAGATCTGCCTGCTTCTGCCTCCCAAGTGCTGGGATTAAAGGCATGCACCACCACCGAACAGTGCCTGACTTTAACTCTGGGTTAACTGTTGGTTTTTTTACCTTCAACCTAGAAAAGCACTTTATGGTAGCCAATTTCTTTTGCTTACTCCTAGGTGTGGATGTGAGGGCTTGCTAGGTTTGTTTTCTAACTGTAAAAATAGACAACCAGCAACTGTAAATGCAAGCCAAGATGATCATGCCCTTCAAAGTTTTGATTACATCTTCTTAGAATCCAAATTACAAACTATTATATGAAGGGGGGAAAAAGCTGAGTATGGTGACTCCCGTCTGTAATGCTAACACTTTGGATGTTGAGGCCAGACTGTACTACAGAGTAAAACCCAATCTCAGAAAAAAAACAAAACAAACCCTTATAAAGCAATCATTAGGGCTAAGCATGGTGGCACTTTAATCCCAGCACTCAGGAGGCAGAGGCAAGGTAGATCTCCAAGACTTCCAGACCCTCCAAGGTTTTAAGAAAGACCCTGTTTCAAAAACAACAATAAAACAAAAACCTAACACTGGGTGTACACACATTTGTTCTATATCAGCAAAACCAGATTATCTTATGTCCCACAAAGTTTAAACTATATTTCTAAATCCAATAATGGGTAGAACCTATTCTATTAGCTAAGGACCTGTCCTTGGACACTCCTCCCACAAGGCAATGTTTTATTTGTATATATTGATACACAGATTTTACTTTTCTCTTGAGACAGCATCTCCCTACTCATTGAAGGCTAGCCTGAATGCTCTCCATCCTTCTGTCTCAGCCTCTCAAAAGCTGGAATTAGATCAGGTCCAGCTTTTTTCCCACACATACTTAAAACTTTTAGAGAAATTACATAAATAAGCACCCCAGCACCAGCATATCACTCAAACACATTTTCTTTGCCTAAGTGGGTTCTGTGTGATATGAGCACATGCACACATGTACTTTGGGACTGGATCTCTTATGTAGCCTAAGCTGGCTTGAAACTTGCTGTGTACACAAGAATGACCCTGAATTTTTGGATTTCCTGCTTCCACCTCCCAGATTACAGGCATGCACTACCATGCTGACTGGTAATAAAAATTTCTGGTAATAATTATCCAGTGATTTGATACAATCTTAAGACATCAAAGAAGGAAAAGAGAAGTGTGAAGATATGAATGTTTCAAAAAAAAAAATTACTTCTGGGCTGGTTAAATGCTTACCTAGAATGCAGAAAGCCCTGGGGTTCAATCTCCAACACCAGACAGGCAGAGAGTAGTAACTCAAACCTATAACTCAGCATCTCAAAGGCAGAAGCTGATCAGAAATTTACTGTCACCTTCTGCTACACAGTGAAGCCAGTCCACGCTACAGGAGTCTCTTCCCACCTAGCCACCCAAAAAGGATATTTTTAATACTGCTTTTGACATTCAGTTACACAAGTTTAGAAAAAGCTAACACTATATATTTAGAAAAATGAAACAAAGGGATCATTAATCCTTTGTGTTCAAATTTGGTTAAATCAGATGGTTTTCTGCTTAGAAATGAATCAGGCTAGAAGGGCCCAAGAATAGTCCCTTTTGGTAGTGGTAATTCCAGGAATGAGAGACAGAAGCAAATGATACACAAGGCACATTAACAAATTGACAGCAGGGTTATTGAATGAAAAGCTTATGACCTTAAGGGCCTACGGTTAAGTACCTGCAAGCAATAAAGGTGCTATTTAAATCCAGCACTTTACCAAAAGAGGGGGGGGGGGAAACTACTGAAAAACCTTCTAACCTTTTAGGTCTTTCAGGCTTTTGGGGTAAGACTGTAGGAGACAGGATATCATAATTACAAGGGCTGACTAGAGTTTTACTTAAAAAACTGACTTAGGAGGTGGAGGCAGGTTAGGAGGTTTTGGATTTTTTTTTTTTTTTGGTTTTTTGACACAGGGTTTCTCTGTGGCTTTGGAGGCTGTCCTGGAACTAGCTCTTGTAGACCAGGCTGGGCTTGAACGCACAGAGATCCGCCTGCCTCTGCCTCCCGAGTGCTGGGATTAAAGGCATGGGCCACCAATGCCTGGCAAAGTTATTAGGAGTTTAGAGTTTGGATCCTAGAACCCACATAAAATGCTGGGTGGACATGCTGTCCTCCAACTATAATTCTACCCTCAGAAGGTAAAGGACCCTGGAACAAGCTGACTAGGGAGATTAATCCTATCTGCAAGTTTAAGGAAGGTGGAAGAACTATAGAGCAGCAGTTGTCGAACCTGGAGGCTGAATATCAAATAACCTACATATTAGATATTTAATTACAATTCATAACAGTAGCAAAATTACAACTATGCAATAGAAACTAAGTAATTTAATGGTTGGGGTTACCAGAACATGAAACTTATTAAAGGGTCACAGCATAGACAATGCATCCCTACATCAACTATCCTTTTAGGGTCCCAACTCTGCATCTCAGGCTAGTCTGTAACTCTTAGTGATCCTCCTGTCTCAGCCTTCCTAGCTGTAAACAAGGTTTCTCTGTGTAGTCCTGGTTGTTCTAGAACTCACTCTGTAGACCAGGATGGAGATTTGCCTGCCTCTGCCTCCTGAGTACTGGGACTGAGGGAGTGTGTGCCACCATTACCTGGCTTGCCTAGCTTCTTTTGGACTTTGTTACAAAAATGTACGATCTCATACCAATGACAAATGTCAACCTAAAAATGAAGTGAATCACAACAAACCAAATATGCTTTGTACATTTCTGCCAACCACGAACCAAATATAGGATGAGTGGACTACACTTCATAGCCTAGGTATGTAATAGGCTCTAAGATGTCTGCTGACAAAACTGATTAATGTGTAGGAGGTACTTACCAGATCCCAATTTATTATTTAGCAAAGCATGACTGCCTTTGTGCCAGACAAGTTGTCAAGAGCTGCATTATCTAATTTAAACCAACAGATACCAAAACATTGTCTTTTTGGGGGGAGGGGGAGTCCAAAACAGGGGTTCTCTATGTAGCCCTGGCCGTCCTGGAACTGGCTCTGTAGACCAGGCTGGCCTTGAACTTCAGAGATCCTCCTCCTGCCTCTGCCTCCCCAGGGCTGAGATTAAAGGCGTTTGCCACCCAAAATGTGTCAACTGCAGAAAGGCAACTAAAGCTTAAGAAAGCTTAAGATCAATTAGTATGTACAAGGTCACCCAAAAAGATCAGACACCATCTGCAACCAATACTGCCCCCTTGTGGTAGTATTTAGGTATATGGTACAACCATCTAAAAGGAAGCTTTTGGTTTCTGAATTATACACCAATAGGAAACCTCAGAAATAAAACTACAGAACTTTCGTCTATGGTTTCCTTAAACAATAACATTGTTTTGGTTTCGTTTTTTGGGACAGGGTTTCTCTGTGTAACAGCATTGGCTGTCCTGGAACTCACTTTGTAGACCATGCTGGCCTCTGCCTCCCAAGCGCTGGGACTAAAGGTGTGCACCATCACCAACAGACCAACAATAAACCTTTTAACATTTTCAAAACCTTCTTTTAAAAAGCTGGAAATTTCCCTGTCACACAACAAACTCCTGAAGTTCAATGCCTCTCCCCCCCAAAAAAGAAATAAGAAAAAGGAGAAATTTCCCCTTTAAAACAATCTCCTGCGCCTATAATCTCAGGACCCAGGGGGTAGTAGCAGAAGGCTGCTACAAGGTCTAGAGCAGCCTGATCCATGCAGTAAATCAGGCAGGCCAGGTCTCTATGGGTTGACCCCAACTCAAATGCCGAAAACAAAACAAAAAAATTTCCGAGGTGTTTTTCTATGTGAAAAACAAACAAACAGCATTTTAATACCAGGTTAGTTCAAACTTAATTAAGAAAACAGCCCCACCACTAACAAAAAAAGTCAGTTTCTCAAAGCAGGCTTCAGCTGCTTCTGTAAACAAGACATCTCCCTTTTTTTTTTTTTTTTTTTTTTTTTTTTTTTTTGCATGTTGTCTGCATGTCACGTGTGCACCTCATGGGGTGCTTGAGGAAGTTAGAGTGTCAGATTCTCTGAATGTGGGTACTGGGAATAGAACTTGGATCCTCTGCAAAAACAAATGAGCCCTGTACCCCCTGGACCTTTTAAAACCCTAAACCCTTATATTTGATTCTTATGTTATGACAAATTAAATGAACCAAAAATATTCTTTATGTTCAAATAATCAAGGAAACATAATTTTGGAGTGCCTGAGTTACTTTTTTGAGACAGGGTCTCACCACTGGACTGCTGCCTTCCTGTGAGTGCTGGGACACCATACCTGGTTTATTTTTATATTAACACACAGGAACTAAATTTTATAATGTAGTATGCAATACCATCACAGACTATCCAAGTACAACTACAGTAATTAAAAGTACACAATGCTTTGCTTGAGCTGGGTGTGGTGGTTCCCACCGATAATCCCAGCACTTGGGAGTTGGAGAAATGCACTAAATGTCTGGCTAGCCTTTATGAGTTCTAGGCCCTTCTGGGCCTAGACAGACGTCCCGTCTCAAAAATAAAATATGAGTATTTCTTTGAGTTCGAGAATGGCCTGGTTTACACAGAGTTCCAGGACAGCTAGGGCTACATAGTGAGACATACCAAAACTAAACAAAAACAAAAATAAAATTTACAGTGCTAGTGGAGGAAGCTGAAATGCACTAAGTAGCAGAGCAATTTTGTAGCATGCAGGAGCTGGGCAGTGATGGACACAAAATCTCCAGATCACAAAGAGGGTGAAACAAGCAACAAAACTTAAACGTCTCATTGCCAGCTTTCAGGATCCTAATTTTAAATGGGCCATGTGGGAATCCATGAAGGTTTCCCATGTTTTATAAACCCGGTAGTCCTGGATATTTGGTGCCCAATTTTGGAAACGTTAACATTCTTAGGGTTAATACCTATCAACATTCAGGCTCTCCTGCAGACACACGTTTACCTTTTTTTAAATGTGGAATTACAAAGCGGCTCAACAGTCTTTAAACATGACCCTACCGAGTTATGAAGGTGACACAAAAAGCTCCAACAGAGAACTGCCCTCAACGGCAGTTTGATTTTGATTTGATTAAGACCAAAAGTGTATTGTGTCCCGCTGGGAAATCAAATAGTGTTCTAGGAAACTCAGAGGCGGGCTGCGCGCCCGGAGGCTCAATGTCACCTTCGCCAAGACGCCTTAGGCCGGCGGGGCCACTCCCGGTCAGGTGGCCGCGGGGTCAGCGCCGGGAACGGTCACGGCCCAGAGACTGAAAGGGAGCGCCGAGCCCTGTCCTCAGCGACCCCGGCAGGTCCACACCTCACCGGTCGAGGATCCGGCACCAGGAAGTGGCACGAGAGAGACCTGGGGGGGCGCTTCCTTGTCTCTCCCACACAACTCCAGACGGCAGCAGATGGACTGCAGTCACCGGGCTCGGCTGCCGGCTCTCAGGGCAAAGGCTAGGCCGCCAGAGAGCCTACCCTCGAGTGGCGGCGGGAGCCCAGGTCACAGCAAGGACACGCGGGCGCGGGCTGTGGCGGGCGCGGGCCTTACCGGCGGCGGAGCTGGAGGCCGAGACGGGGTGCAGGAAGCTTCGGGCGGCCGCGGCTGCGGTACAGCGACGAAGGGCGGCGGCGAGCATGACGGCGACCGCAGCGCACTGGCTGAGGCTGAAGAGAAGCCGGTGTGAGCTCGCGGGCGGCTCGGCAGCTCGTGGGGGCCGGACTCACGCACCGACGCACGCTGGGCGGAGCAGAGGGCCCGCCCACTGCGGAGCTAGCGCCTACGTGCCCTTGAAGTTGAGGGCGGCTACGGCGGCCCGTTGAGGACAAACCACGCAGGCGCCTTGCGGATGCTGGTCCGATGAACTAAGTCCCTTCTTGGTGAAATCCTGGCGTGGGAGGAAAGGCAGGGTGAGAAATGGACATTGTGGATTTTGGAATCCGACAACGAAGGAGATGTCAAAAATTGGAATTGTGGCGATAACGTCAAACTCTAAGAATAACCGTTTTACCCCGCGTGGTGGTGCATGCTGTGATCCCAGCATTCTACGGGCTAAGGATTAGAGTTCCACACCATTTGCTGGGTGTCTCAAATTTTTTTTTTTTTTCGTATTGAGAGTGGCTATGCAGGCTAATAATCTCAGCACTTTAGAGGTTGAGGCAAAGGGACTGGGGAATCACGTGATACAGTCTTTCCAATATTTCATTTTACAGATAAGGAAACAGACTGAAAAATTGGGTTGTTAAGGGTCTAGCGAGATGGTTCAATGGATAAGTTACTTTCTGTGTAAACATGAGGATCCGAGTTCAGATGCCATGACAGCTCAGCATCCACGTAAAAACCCGTCTATGGTACCAGTGCTGGGTGGAGTAGGGGGATCCTGGAGGTTCACTGACCAGCCAGCCAATCTAGTCCAAACACCAAGCTCCAAGTTTAGTGAGATTCCTCTTGGGAAATAAGGTGGAAAGTGATAGAGGAAGAGACCTGACGTCAACCTCTGGTATCTGCTTGTACGTGCACATTCACATACACACATGTACACACACACACACTAGGGTGTATGCTGCCAATTGGACTCTTCATCACATCCCCAGCTCTGAGGACTCACCCTGGTGCTTATGGTCAAAAACCTGCCTCACTCCTTACAAGGGGGCTGGGATCACACAAACTAGCCACTTAAAACAATCCCTTAATTACCTTCCAGTTTTCTGGCTCAAAAGTGTAGGCACAGGATGTCTAGATTGCTTACTCAGGGTCTTCCAAGGCTGAAATCAATGTGTCAGCTGTGTCTGTCTCATCTGAAACATGGAGTCCTCTTCCAAGGTCATTCAGGTTGTTGGCACAGTTCAGGGTTTGCTTCCTGCTACCAGCCAAAAATACTCTTAGCAGCTAGAGGCCATCTTGGTGTCCTCTCACATGACTTACCTCCAGACTCTCTTACAATACCTTAGTTTATTTCTTCAAGCAAGCAGCAGAGTCTCTGATAAATTCACCCTCTTTTAACGACCCCTCTAAACTGGTCACTGGTGGTGCACACCTTTAATCTCAGTACTCAGGAGGCAGAGAGAAGCAGATCTCTGAGAATTAAAGGCCAGCTTGGTCTACATAGTGAGACCTTGTCTAAACAAACAAACCAACCAAAACCCCTCTAAAATGGTAACTGATCCATGATCCTGTAATCCTATCACTTGGGAAACAGAAGGAGGTCATTACAAGTTCTAAGCCAATCTGGTCTACAGAGTGACTTCCAGGCTGAGTAGGTGTTTTATATATATAGCAAGACTCTACCTCAAAAACTCATATACATATATAGTCTTCACTGTATTAGTTCATGCCCACATTGAGTAAACTTTTGACTAACTCTGAAAAAAATTCAGTTTCTACAAATTCAATTAAATTCTGATATTATCTATTCAGGTACAGACTCAATCCCCAAGACTATCCTCCACTTCGAACATGAATCTCAAGGCAAGGCCTCTGCAACTTCTGTTTAGCCAGCCTCCAATAAGCATTCCTATAACTACTTCCTTGGGTCCTATTAATTTGTTAGAGAAACCCATAAGACTCAGGGGAATACCATAATCCTTGTACCTTTCCTAAAGCCCCACCTGTTCAACTGTCCTAAAGCTCTCTGAAAACAATTGTCTTTATTTTTCTTTTTTTCTTTTTTGAGACAAGGTTTCACTTTGTAGACCTGGCTGTCTTGGAACTCAATGTGTAGGTCAGGCTGGCCTTGAACTCACAGAGATCAGCCTGCCTCCACCTACTGAGTGCTGGGATTAAAAGCATGTGATACCACGGCCTGGCCATGTTTGTTTGTTTGTTTGTTTGTTTTTGTTTTTTTCATCGTTTTATTTGGTTTTTCAAGACAGGGTTTCTCAGGTTGGAGGCTGTCCTGGAACTAGCTCTTGTAGACCAGGCTGGTCTGGAACTCACAGAGATCCGTCTGCCTCTGCCTCCTGAGTGCTGGGATTAAAGATGTGTGCACTCCCCTGCACTCCCCCATGTTTGTTTGTTTTTAAATAAAACTTTCACTATATATACATAGTCAAAGTAATGAATAACTATAAGAAATATGATGGAGGTCCAGGGATAGTGATGAAGCAATTGTGTAGCATATTCAAGGCCCTAGTTTTAATTCTGTGAAGTGATTGGATAAGTTATAGTTGGTGACTCATGTCTATTATCTCAGCACTGGAGAGACTGAGGGAGGAGGAATTTCACAAGTTTGAGGATAGCCTGGGCTATAGCAGTGAATTCCAGACCAGCCTGAACTACAGAATGAAAATTTATCTTAAAATTAAATTCTGGGTGTGATGATGCCTGCCATTAGTCCCAGCACTTGAAAGGCAGAGGCAGGCAGATCTCTCAGCTTGAGACCTGCCTGGTCTACAGAGCTAATTCCAGGTCAGCTAGGGGTGTTACACAGAGAAACCCCATCTCAAAAAATAAAACAACAAAATGATAAATATTGGGCAGGAGAAAGATGGTTCCGTAGTTAAGAATTCTTTCAGCTCTATCAGAGACTTGAAGCATTAATTAATCTTAATAAAAAAATCAGGAGTCAGGGGCTGGAGAGATGGTTCAGAGGTTAAGAGCACTGACTGCTCTTCCATAGGTCCTGAGTTCAATTTCCAGCAACCACATGGTGGCTCACAACCATCCGTTATGAGATCTGATGCCCTCTTCTGGTGTGCAGATATACATGGAAGCAGAATGTTGTATACATAATAAATAAATAAAAATTTTTTTAAAAAAATCAGGAGTCAGCTGGGTGTTGGCACACGCCTTTAATCCCAGCACTAGGGAGGCAGAGGCAGGCGGGTCCCTATGAGGTCGAGACCCGCCCGGTCTACAAGAGCTAGTTCCAGGACAGCCTCCAAAGCCACAGAGAAACCCTGTCTTGAAAAACAAAAACAAAAACAAACAAACAAAAAAAATCAGGAGTCAAATATCAGGGTAAAATCCTGGAAGATCAGAGAACCTGAGCAGTGGCCAGTTGTTTCCTACCAGTCTCATTCCTCCTTCCAAAAGGGCTGAGATCCCATCTCCACTTTCGAGTGCTGGGATTAAATGTGTGAGCCACTGCCCAGCTTCTGCGGTTAACTAGTGGCTATCTCTGCCCTCTGATCTCCAGGCAAGCTTTATTTGTCAGAACACAAACAAATATCACACAAGGATTCAAGTTTTTGTTTGTTTGTTTGTTTGTTTTGAGACAGGGTTTCTCTGTGGCTTTGGAGGCTGTCCTGGAACTAGCTCTTGTAGACCAGGCTGGTCTCGAACTCACAGAGATCCTCTGCCTCTGCCTCCGAGTGCTGGGATTAAAGTCGTGTGCTACCAATGCCCGGCTAAAGGATTCAAGTTTATTTCACATCAGGTGGCTCACAACTATCTATAACTCCAACTCCAAGGGGATTTGACATCCTTTTCTCCACAAGTGCCTACACATGTGGTGAGAGACCAAAAATTAAAATTAATAAAAGTTTAAAAACTTGGGCCGATGAACCTATGCAGAGAAAAAGGAAACTTATAAATTTGACTCCCTAACTGGGAGTATATGAATAGGAACCTGAGCCCAGCTCTTGGAGAAAGGGAGTTAGCTTGCCACTATCTGTGTCAATATTCCTTTGTCCTAAAGAAAACCAGATAAACACTAATTGCCTGTTGTAAAAGTCCCCCAGCCCATGGGATAATTGGCAAATTCATTACCTCATGCCCCATACCCCTGTCTTGCTTAAATGTATTTTGCTAAAATATATAGTTTTTGCTTTACTTTGTACTTTGTAATGACCTTGAGTAACCATGGAAACTAATTTGTGGCCTTCAGCCTTACAGTCTTTCCCTTTAAAAGCTTCCTTTAATTTCTGATTGGGGTCTCACTTCCTCCCAATGGAGTGAGATCCTGGCTGGCTGGCTTGAAAATAAAGAAACCTTTGCTTTTGCATCAAGTGTTGGCTCCTTGTGAAGGTCTGTTTGGGGTTTCGAGAACCTAGCATAACAGTGGTATACACTCAGATATATACACATGAATAAATCTAAAATATGCCTTAAAAAAACTAAATGAATTTTTGGATGAATAAATACATGAATTAAAAACAAAAGAAAATATAAGAAAGAACAATGTAACTTGACTGAAGGAGTATGAGTCCATGCTAGGTTTGTCCAAATTCATCTTGACTTTTCTGTGCCAGATATGGGACATGTGTTAGTTATTTTATTTTTGATACAAGGTGTGGCAGTTTGAATGAGAATGGCCCCATAGGCTCACATATTTGAACGCTTGGTCATCATAGAGTGGCACTACTTGAGAGGGATTAGGAGGTGTGGCCATGTTGGAGTGAGTGTGGCCTTATTGGAGGAAGTATGTTACTGGGGATGGGTTTTGGGGTTTCAAAAGCCCAAGCCAGTCTCCATGTCTCTCTCCCTGTCGCCTTCAGATGTAGAACTCTTAGCTACTTCTTCAGTATCATTCCAGCCTGAGTGCTCCCATGCTTCCTGCCATGATGATAATGGTCTAAGCCTCTGAAACTGTAAGCAAGTTCCAATTAAAAGCTTTTTCTTATCAGAGTTGTTGTGATCATGGCATCTCTTCACATCAATAGAACACTGACTAAGACACAAGATTTCAGTGTGGCCTTGCCTGGCCTTTAACTCACAGTGATCCATCTGCCTTTGCCTCCTGAGTGCTGGAATTAACTGAGCCACCACACCTGCCCTTGGTTACTTTTTCA